CAAACAAACAAAAAACCAAAGAAACAAAACATCATTTTCAAAGTTAGCAATGATCATCCTTAAATATGTACCAATTTCTCCCAACTGGGGCTTCTGCTTCAGACCATCTGGGTCCTGCAGAATCATGCCACGAATGCATTGGGGTTTTCGTACCAGCTCTGCACGCGGGTGACACTGCACACTCTGGGGCTCCCTGCAGCAGCCCGCAGCATCCCCCCAGAGAACCGTGAAGCCAAACTCTGGGCTGGAATCTGGCGACACCTGGGTTCTGGATTCTCCCACCCATTTGCAGTGCTCTGCCCGTCGTATGACTAAGATGACTTCTTTCCAGTGATCAGGAAATAAAAGGCTTTTGATTTTTCAGCACGGAAGAGGTGGGGATGGGGGTGGGCCTGGCTTTCTGTGCCTGTTACTTTTCTTCTCTCTCACTCCCACAAGCTGCTTCTAACCACCCTATTAAATACTAGATCCCCCCGCACACATCCCTCCAGGCTGAGCAGGAGTATGGAAATGAAGAGAAATTTTATGTCAAGCTGCTTTCCGGTGTGGGCTTTAATAAGATTGGGGGTAATAAGTGCCTTTGAGGATGGTTTGTGTTTTTGCGGCGCTCTGTTAGTGCAGGCGGTGATGCTGGTTCTATGCAAAACGCGCAGCGCAGCACAGCTGAATATCCATTTCCTCACCCTGGCAAAAAAAAACCTGGCTAAGAGAGACTCCACAGACGACACTCACGTCTCACTCGTTTCACTCTGGAAGAGGAAAAGTGACTTTAATAAAAGGAAGTGGGAAAATTCTGAAATTCTCTTTCTAGAACCTTGGATGGGACTTCCGCTTCTCCTTGGACTACCTACAGACTTCAGCAGTGGCTCAGGACAGAGGAGCAGCATTGCCACGGAAGTCCCTGCTTATATCAAAGGTTCATCTCAAAGGGCATCACCAGGAGACAGGCGGAGTGACGCACACAGCACCAGCACGCGTTTCCCCCAGTGAGGGTGCCCACTGGATCCTCTTCGCTAATAATAACCTTTCCAACTGAGCAATTACGCTGTGAGCACATTCCAGGGACTCATCAGGATA